GGAAAAAAAAAAAAAAGTGTTTGGAAATGCTGATCTAAAATGTTCTGCTCAGTATTGGAGTGTTTTATTATATGGCTTTTAAGAGAGCAAAAGGCAAAAAAAGAACATCCCTGAGGAATGCTTCATTTTGAACACATCAACATTCCCACTAAAATAACAAACATGTCCCACCAGCCCTATAAACCACATTTATCTGCTTGTTCTATCTACCCATCCCACCTGCCTTGGCCTCCCAGAAAGCAGCGTGGCTCTCAGAGCTGTTCACAAAAGCACCTGGCCTCTCTCCTTGGCTCCTGCCCGCTGGATTAGGCTGTGTCTGAGATGTGGGGTGGAGGTTTGCTCCTCCTGAAATGCCCACAGCTCATGTGTGTCGATAGGCACTGATTGCTGATGGCCTGGAAGATGCTTTGCCACCTTGCTTTAATGCCCCTTTTTGGGCTGAGTTTGGAGGGGCTGCATTTAGGATCAGCCTCGTTCCTCCTCTTGCTGTGTCAGCTCTTGCATCCAGAAAGCCAAAATAACTTCTGCTCCTCGGTGTCTTCACTGTAAATCACAGCTGGGCTCTGTGAAAGCACCTGCCCTGCACCAAGAGTGTGGGCAGAAAGGAGTTAATGAGCTTTCTAATCCTTTTCCCAAGAGAGGGGATTGAGATCCCACCTGCAGAGCTGCATCCAGCTCTGGGGACCTCAGCACAAGGAAGATGTGGGCTTGTTAGAGACCGTGGAGATGCTGCCAGGGCTGGAGCCCCTCTGCTCTGGAGCCAGGCTGGGAGAGCTGGGGGGGTTCCCCTGGAGAAGAAAAAGCTCCAGGGAGAGCTGAGAGCCCCTGGCAGGGCCTAAAGGGGCTCCAGGAGAGCTGGAGAGGGACTGGGGACAAGGACATGGAGGGACAGGATGAGGAGAGATGGCTTCCCACTGCCAGAGGGCAGGGTTAGATGGAATAATGGGAAGAAGTTCTTCCCTGTGAGGGTGGGCAGGCCCTGGCACAGGTTGTCCAGAGAAGCTGTGGCTGCCCCTGGATCCTTGGAAGTGTCCAAGGCCAGTTTGGATGGGGCTTGGAGCAACCTGGGACAGTGGAAGGTGTCCCTGCCCATGGCAGGAGGTAGAATAAGATGGTCTTTAAAGTCCCTTCCCAATCAAACAAATCTGGGATTCTGGGATTCTTTTTCCAAATATTTTGGGGGTTTTTTTCTATTCAGTTGCTCCCAAAATCAAATTAAAACCTGTATGAGGAAGGTAATAAATTGATCTCTGCATCAGCTGGCAACAAGCAAAGAAAGTTTAGACTAGACCATACAAGATCTAACCAAGAGGGCAGGGATTCCACTGCAGGAGGGGAAAGCCACCATGAAAGGTGGTTTTGGAACAGAGAAATCCATTTGCAGGAAAGGGGCTTGGACCAGATCCCCACTGTCCTTGTCCCATCTGTTTTGGGGACAGAGCTGCAGGAGGGGAGCAAACAGTTCAAAACCAAACCATACCCAAAGCAGCCACATTCACATGAAAAGGAGAAAACTGGGAGAAACAGTACATGGAGCTATGGCATTGATGTGATAGTGGCTGGGATGGTTTGGGGGAGCAGGAAGGTAATACATGGCTGGGTAATTTCAGGTAGATACCATAAGAGGATGCTTGAATTTTCTTCCCCTCCCCCCCCCTTTATCACTCAGTCAAAATAAGCTATTTCCTTATTCTTTTTGCCTCACTGATTAAGACATGAACACTCAGAGTGTAGCCTGACTTTTCCTAGATTTCAAATAAAATTGCCACAATACAAAACCACCATCAAAACATGCATCCATCATCACACAACCTTCACAAACCTCACTTACAGCAACAAAAATAACTCACCCCAGCAAAGTCAAAAATAACATTGTAGAATCATTCAGGTTGAAAAAGAATATCACCACAATTCAAGAAAGGTGGGCAATTTTCACACACTCCACCCACCCCTCACTCACAATTAAAATCACAATCCCACATAATTCTAATGCTCTGTAGCAATGTCCAGTCCAGGTTCTGCCCACTGCCTCTCCCAGTTACTGACCTGATCCCCAGTTTCTGAGGAGTTCCATGTTTGGGAACAAAAGATACAGCAGGACAGGTTTGAGTCATCCCTTGCAATCACTTTTAGCCTGTTTTTCGATGTGCTTGAAGACCTGGGGTCAGCAGGACACAGGAGCCAGCAGAGCTGGACTTGACCTCAGAAGGACAAGCAGTGTAGACTGATCCTGGCTTCCCAGAGGATTTTTGGATGTTCTGACCAAGGCAAGGCAAACCCACCTTTATAAACACCTAAATATTATCATTTTGCCACTGTTCTGCATGGACTGTGAGCAGGATCCATTTTGCCCACCTCTGGCCCTGGGAAATGCTGCAGGAAGATGCACTATGGCCAATCTTCCTTTGCAGAGCAAGGGAAGAATCACAGAATCGTGGAATGGTTTGGATTGGAAGGGACCTTGAAGATCATCCAGTTCCAACCCCTTGCCGCGGGCAGAGACACACAGAGGGAACCCCTCTCCTTGTTATAAACCCTGGAGTGCATGCAAATGTTGATCTGCCTAAGTCCTAGGATAAACTCTGTCCCAAAAGGATAAAGTGTAAAAAAAGAGGGAGGAAAGAAATGTAAAACATCAAGAGGGAAGGAGCTGTATCTCTTTCCACCTCAAGCCCAGCAGATTGTCAAGGTCCTAGGCACTCAGAGACCTCTGTGTGCTTTTTTTACTTCAGACCCTTCAGTTCCTCCACAAAGACCCACCCCCAACACTTTTATTTGGGTTTAAGTGCATCAGTGTAAACCTGTTCCTCATTAGTTTAAATTAACCATAATGGCCCTGATTTAAACACCCATCCCAACCCTACGTGGTTCAAATCCTGCCGTACGTGAGAAGCTTCAGCCCAGCCTTAGCTCTGGAGAAAGGCACATGTTTTCTTTATCTCTGGATGTCACTGGGTAGATTAGACGAGATATATTTATCTAGACAACGATCTGTGTTGCTGCAAAGATATGGCTACAGAATTCCATGGGTTGAGATCATCCCATGCTGAGTTTAGCACCCGGGTGAAAAACGATCCTTCATTTTGGTGGTTGACATGTTGTCACCAAAACATGGGGAAAATGAGTAATTTGGACTCAAGTGATAAGTGTTTGAGCTTCTTTTTTTTTATTTTATTTTATTTTTTTTTTTAATTCACATTCAAAAAGCGGTTTGTGGGGTGCGTTATTTTAAGCAAAACCATCCCTATGAACGTTGTCCTGGTGCAGTATTTGTTCCTGTTTCCTTGTATTTTCCAGTTTGCTTGTTCCCAGCAGGGTCGAAAACCCAGCTCAAGGAAGGAGGATGAAATCTTAAGGAAGAAGAGAGTGCATGAGAGAAATAAGGAAGATCGAAAATGTGTCATTTCCTGAAATTATTGTCAAGAAAAATAAAGGAATAAATATGCTGTAATATTTTTTTGTCCGCTCTCATACCCAGTGTATCCACAGATCTCCCATGCTCTGACAGCAGCAGTTAAATCACCCCACTGTCCACTTGGACTGCCCTTTAAAATAACTTTTTTTTTTTTTTTTTAAGAAAGAAAAGTTGAAAAATCGTGGATAAACACACTCCAAGGAAATATTTCCTGTGTACAGCAGAAAGAAGCTGAGGGAGAGCCCCTGCTCCACGCTGGGGTCAGTCCCCATTGCAATGTATGGAGGCAGGTCACGGGGAGGAAACCAGTGTAAACAGGATCTGCTTTTATCGGTGGGAAAAAAACCCAGCCCCGTTTAAATTGGTCAGAAATACGTGTTGTAGCCACAGGCTGCTGTGTCCAAGTCTTGCTGCAGGGTTAAGTCAGAGGCACAGAGCTGATGATCACACACCGTCCCTGCCTGTCCCCTCTGCTTTGGGAAGGAGTTAGTGAGGGGCAGCCCATGCCTGCACCCCCAGCAGGATGCCTGGGCTGGGGTGTCAGGACCAGTGTTTAGCTAAGATGTTTTGGCTAAGATGTTTGCTGGAAGCCCTGGATGTGGGGCAAGAAAGGAAACCTGCCAGCCTGGCAGGACATCCTCCTGGTGGGATGCTGGGATTGGGGAGATGTGCCAGATAGGAAGGGCATCTCCCCTGGTGGGTGCTGGGGGGACATGCCAGCTGCACAGGGCATCCTTCTAGTGGGATGCTGGGCCTGGGGGTCCTGTTAGCTGTGCAGGGCATCCTCCTCCTCCTGGTGGGATGCATCCTCCAGGTGGGATGCTGGGACTCGGGGTCGGGGACGGAGAGGGGAGGAGGAGAGTTATGCCAGTCATGCAGGACATCCTCCTGGTGGGATTCTAGGGCTAGAGGGGACATGCCTGGCAGGGCATCTGCCTGCTGGGACTCTGGGGCTTAGGGGGGCACGCCGGACTGTCAGAGCATCCTCTCGGTGGGACACCTGTGCCGGGGGCCACGGCACGGGCGGTCTCCAGGGGGGAAGGTGCAGCCTGGGAGGTCTCCGGCGGGAAGGCGCAGCTCCCCGCCAGCCGCAGGACCCCCTCGCCGGGGGGACACACGGACCCGGCGGGGGGACACACGGACCCGCCGGGTAAACCCTTTGCTCTGCTGCCGCCCGGCGGTGACGGCCGGGACGGCTGCACCCGGGTACCCCCACCCACCCCGGGGGTCTGCACCCACCGCTGCGCGACCCCTCCGCGAGTGGGTTCCCTCCCTGCCCCGTGCGTGTCTGAAACCACCCCCGCTCCCTCCATCATCTCCCCTCTCCGCCCTGGCTCTGCTCCCGGCTCGTCCTGCCCCGTGCTCGCCCAGTCCTGCACAGCAGCGCTGCTGCCGCCCCCGCCGCCTCCTCCTCCTCCTCTTTCCCTTCCTCCTCCTCCTCCTCCTCCCCCGGCAGCACCTGACGCGCGGGGCTCCCGCCCGCCCCCGCCCCGGTCCCGTCCCGCCCCTCCCGCCGCTCCCGGTCCGAGCAGGGAGCGGAGCCGCCGGCGCTGCCGCCCGAGCCCAGCGCAGCCCCCGGAGCATGAGAGGGCGGCGGGGGGGCTCCGACCGCGCTGCCCCCCCGGGCTGAGCGGCGGGGAGAGCCCGCGGCGGGGCGGGGGGCAGCGCGGCCGCACGGCGTGAAGCCCTCTCTCATCCCTCTATCTCTCTCTTATCCCCCTCTCTCTCATCCCTCTCTCTCTCTTATCCCCCTCTCTCTCATCTCTCTCTCCATCCCTCTCTCCTCCCTCTCTCCATCCCTCCCTCCATCCCTCCATCCCAGCCGGGGGAGCGGGGTGCGGAGCGGGTCTAGGCGGGGGCTGCCGGCCGGGGATCATGCCGGGGGAGCTGCGCCTCGGCACCGCTTTCTCCTCGCCCTCCATGGAGCCCGGACTTTCTCTACAATGACTTTCCCCGAGCTGAGCAATGGCAGCTTGAGTGGGAACCGGACGGGACAGGGCAGCCAGAGCGGTGCCAACCGGTCCTGGGGGCTGCAGGGTGAGGAGGGCCCCGACGGCAACGGCACCACGCTGACTTTCGCCTTGGACGTGCAGGCGGTGGGCGTCGGGGTCTTCCTGGCCGTGTTCATCCTCTCGGCCATCGTGGGGAACATTCTGGTCATCCTGTCGGTGGCTTGCAACCGGCACCTGCAGACGGTCACCAACTACTTCATCGTCAACCTGGCCATCGCCGACCTGCTGCTCAGCACCACCGTGCTGCCCTTCTCGGCCACCCTGGAGGTGCTGGGCTTCTGGGTGTTCGGGCGCATCTTCTGCAACATCTGGGCGGCGGTGGACGTGCTGTGCTGCTCTGCCTCCATCATGAGCCTGTGCATCATCTCCGTGGACAGGTACATCGGCGTCAAGTACTCCCTCAAGTACCCCACGATCATGACCGAGAGGAAGGCGGGGGTCATCCTCGTGGTGGTCTGGCTCTCCTCCATGGTCATCTCCATCGGGCCCCTGCTGGGGTGGAAGGAGCCGCCGCCGCAGGACGAGAGCATCTGCAGCATCACGGAGGAGCCAGGCTATGCCCTGTTCTCCTCCCTCTTCTCCTTCTACTTGCCCCTCATGGTCATCCTGGTGATGTACTTCAGGATCTACGTGGTGGCCAGGCGGACCACCCGGAGCTTGGAGGCGGGGGTCAAGAAGGAGAGGAATAAATCCATGGAGGTGGTTCTGCGCATCCACTGCCGCAGCGTCCTGGAGGAGCCCCTCTCCAGCACCCGGAGCAAGGGGCACAACTTCAGGAGCTCCCTCTCCGTGCGGCTCCTCAAGTTCTCCCGCGAGAAAAAAGCAGCCAAGACTCTCGCCATCGTCGTGGGTGTTTTCATCCTCTGCTGGTTCCCTTTTTTCTTCATCCTGCCTTTTGGTAAGTGACCCCGTCCCCCCTCCCAGCCCTGTGACTGGAGCCCTGGGGACCTGCTCCTTGGGACAAACTTCCAGGACACAACTCACACACGGAGGTGAGGGATAGGTAACTGATAAGTGAATAAGCCAGCAATGAATTTATTCAATTAATTAACACTTATTCAATATTTATTAACCGAACTCACAGTCAAAGTAAATAGCAAATGAATAAAATAGTGGCATACTAATTGTTTTAATTAATTCATTCAGCATTTTAAATAATGAAGTTCAGGCTGTGGAGGAAGCAGCTCTGTTTCAAACAGGCTGTCATTATGGCACAGTGGTCTCCAAAGAGTTTTGCTGTCCTCCCTTCCTCCCAGTTTGGGAAAGGTAATTGGATGTCTCCCCCGTGGGTCCAGGGCTCCCACCTCTGTTGGAGATGAGTGAGGTTTGATCTCCCCAGGGAGTGTCAGAGCATGAGTCTTACTGACTTTGCAGGATGTCGTTGCTGTGCAGGGACCTGGAGCAGGACCAGGTATTGTCTAAAGGTGGTGGGAGAAGATCCTGTGTGATTTCCCAGGACACTGGGTGCTCCTTTAGGGTTGTCTGACAAGTTGTGCTCTAAAGTTCTGGCAAGTTGTTTGTGAAAAGGACGCAGCCCCCTGCATGCAGAAGAGGCTGAGCAGGCACAGAACGTGCTGGGGACATTGTGATGTCCAAAGCAACATCCCCTTCCAGCACCAGTGCAGGGATGCCGGTGCTCTTCCTCACCACCTCACTGAACGAGCACCCAGCTCGGGGGACCTGATGAGCCCTCTGGAATGCTGTAACTAAACCCGGAGGGGAGGAAGTAGAGGTTTAAAATATCTTTTGGATGTCAGCAGCAGCCTTTTGCACAGAGCTCAGCAAAGCAGAGAGGTCTGTCACTCCATCTGCCAGCAGGGACCCACGTGTCCCACAGCCCACTGGGGACTTGTGTCCCACCAACCCTGTGGCCAGGGAAACATTACAGCTGGTTCTGCACTTTTTTCTCAGGGTTTTTCAAATCCTCTTGCCCGAGGCTTCCTTCTCAAGTCAGTGGAAACAGCATCGTGACCGCGGGACCACCTGCTGAGGTTTTGAGCTCCCTCCAGCACCGGGGCTGTCCCCCTGGGACAGCTGGAGCCCAGGGCTGTGAGACACCCTCCAGTGGAATAGATCACCAGGACTGATGGTGTCTTGGGAGCTGAGGTGCCCCTGGAGTGGTGGATCAGGGCTGTGCATGTCTGCTGTCACCATGCTGCTGTCTCGTACTTCTTTGCTCCAGTTTCTCTGTCTGGGTGAGGGTGTGTATTTGGGGAGTTTATCCCAGCTCTCCACGGGGGTGAAATCGCTGCTGTGGGGAGTTTTCATCCTGTGTGAGCATTGCAGTTCGTGGTAAAACTTAGGCAGGGAGTGTAGGGCTGCACTGAGCTGCTCCCTCTGCAAGACCTGAGATTAATTACCTTGTCAGACCATGCCTCTTTCATTGAACAGGTACATGGGAGGGGGTTGTATCCAGCAGATAAATAGTTTGGGAGTTATGGGGTTCAGGTAGATGCCAGTACCCAAAGGTTGAGCTCTCTGGGCAGCCCCAGTCTGATACTCCCCTCCTTAGCCAGAACTAGCAAGAACCACCTCCAAACCTCATTTACACCTTGAGACTTTAAAATCACAGAATCACAGAATGGTTTGGCTTGGAAGGGACATTAAAGATCATCTAGTTCCAAGCCCCTGTCAACCTTGCAGCTAATGAAGCTGGGAACTGGGATCCCGTTCCTCTGAGTTACTCCCAGTACTCGGAAATAGAGAACAAACAATCAGGCAAATATACTTCTCAGTAGAAATAAAAAAATATTTTGCTTTGCCGTATCTGTTCTCCCTTGAAACCCTTGAGCCAGCTCTTCTGCTGGTGTTCATCAAACTACCCCTGTGCAGAAGTCGAAGGAGACAGGGTGATTTCCACCAGCTAAAAATCCAAACTTCATTCCTGAAGTACCTCCCATGAACCCTCCGAGCACCCAACTTGCCAAGTCCTTTATAAACAGGGCTTTGATCTTTACTTCCTGCTGTATTATGTGCATAACATAAACACAGCAAAACTTCATTTATTTTATGACTACAAAATATTCTGCTTCTCGTTTCCCCACCCTTTATTAATTGCAGTTTTCCTGTTCAAATCTCAGTATCATTCAGGGCTATCTGGGAGGAGAACAGAAACTTCTAATCTTGTGTTTTACAGCTCAGGAGATGGGTCTGAAACTCACAGAAATCAGCAAAGTCCACCGTAAATTCACAACTTGAAACATGCTGGAGCCAATTCTCCTTGGAAAGAAGGTTGTAAATGGTGAAGTAGAATGGGTTTTATTTGTCTGTTAGACAAAAATAGGTGAAATAATTTGGGACCAAGTGGAAAGTGCATTTATACACATTTTAAGTGAAAATCAAAATTCTCGTGAGAAACTGAATAACTTTCCACTGAAGTGAAATGTGCTGTTTCAATTTGAGTAAATGGGAGTTTATTAAAAAATGAGTGCTCAGAGACATTTCAAAGCGAGCTGTTGCCTTAAAATGAAGTGAATGAGGGATCTATTTTCTTCCAAAAGTATCCAAATGTTTTGACTTTTTTTTCTCCTCTTCGACACGAAATCGCAAGGAGCCGTCCTCGGCTCGCGCTGTTCGCTGTCACCTGATTATACTTTTTAGGGATAAGAAAATTTGCCAAGTGAAAAGAGACTCGTCTCAGCCCTCCTTAGCATTCCCCGAGCGCTCAGAAACTTCCGCGCTGGCTCCGTGGTCGGTGTCAGTGAGTCTGCACGGATCTTTGCAGCCCTCTGCAGAATAGTTTCCACATTAGTTGCACGGGAGCAGTATTTATCACATCAGGGCTGAAAAAAAACCCAGCAATTTTGAATAACACAATCTCTGTGTGTGTGTGTGTGTTAAGTGCTCTCAGCTGTTTCTCCGTGCTTGAGCAACCTGCGGCGATCTTTCTTTAAATCAGCTCAAACCCCCCCAACACCTCTGTGGGTCTATTTATCAGCTGAATAATTTAGCCCGCTCTTGGGTGTGTGACACATGGGATGCCATCACCAGGAGTTTAAACAAAATTAACAGTTTTGTGGGTAATGAGACTCTTCAAGCAGCGGGTTGTTCGACCCAAGATGAAATCCTAATTCCCCGTGTGAGAGTGGTGTCTTTTGTGGGTGTGCAGTGGGGCTCTAAAAACTGCTCTGTCTCGGGATCCTGGGTGGTGGTGGTGGGGTTTGAGGCAGGATTCCTCTTCCCTTGGCAAACACCTGTCAACAGAGCATAACTGGGGACTTTTCAGAGGTGTGGGCAGGGAGTTTAAGGCTGGTTTATAGGACAGGATTCATCTCCCTTTGGTTGTGTCAGACCACGAAGATGATCCAAGGGCTGGAGCCCCTGTGCTCTGGAGCCAGGCTGGGAGAGCTGGGGGGGTTCCCCTGGAGAAGGGAAAGCTCCAGGGAGACATGAGAGCATCTTCCACTTACAAAAAGGAGGCAGAGCAACTTTCTGTATGGGTAGATAGTGATAGGACAAGTGGTAATGTATTTAAACTGACAGCAAGGTTGAATGTTAGGAAGAAATTCTTCACTCAGAGGTTGGTGAGTAAGTGGCAGAGGCTGCCCAGAGATGTTGTGGATGCCCCATCCCTGGAAGTGTTCACAGCCAGGTCAGATGGAGCATTGGAACAGGCTGCCCAGGGCAGTGCTGGAATCCCCATCCCTGGAGGGATTTAAAAGCTGTGTGGATGTGGCACCTGGGGACATGGTTTAGTGGTGGCCTTGGCAGTGCTGGGGGAACTGTTGGACTTGATGATCCCTGGAGGGCTTTTTCAAATTTAACAATTCCATGATTCTAGAGAGTCTTCACTGGCTCCTCTGCTAATGGAAAACTGCTAAAAGTTGGGTGCTGGCTTTGCCCTTGCAGTGGGGACACCTTTGCAAGGTGGTCAAGGAACCAGAACCCCCTACACAACACCTACAGATGGATAGTCACGTGCTATCTGAAGCCTGATCCAGGGGGAATTAATTAGGAACAGGAGGAGGGATGGAGCCCTGATCCCCATCCACTCTTCAGCTGGGGAGCATGCAGAGGCAACGGGGGTCACCAAATGGGGCATCTCAGGAGTGGAGTTAGAGACCTTCTCTGGTCGGATTTCAGATGAGACCAAGTCTGTTCTGGTAGACATGGAGAATTAACTCTACTCTGATATAAGAGTATTTAGCATGGTTTCCTGTAGAAAAAAAAGAAAAAAAAGGGCTTATGTCATCACTCTGTGCCTAAGAGCATGGAAGTTTTCAAGTTTCAAGAGCTCATTTTGATGAGCTCTTTCATGATAGAATCATAGAATGGTTTGGGTTGGAAGGGACCTTAAACACCATCCAGTTCCAAATTCCTGCCATGGGCAGGGACACCTTCCACTGTCCCAGATTGTTCCAAGCCCCATCCAACCTGGCCTTGGACACTTCCAGGGATCCAGAGGCAGCCACAGCTTCTCTGAGCAACCTGTGCCAGGGCCACACCAGCCTCACAGAGAAGAATTTCTTCCTAATATCTAATTTAATCCTGCCCTCTGGCAGTTTAAAATCATTTCCCTTTGTCCTGTCACTCCATGTCCTTGTCCCCAGTCCATTTCCAGCTCTCCTGGAGCCCCTTTAGGCCCTGCCAGGGGCTCTCAGCTCTCCCTGGAGCCTTCTCTTCTCCAGGGGAACCCCCCCAGCTCTCCCAGCCTGGCTCCAGAGCAGAGGGGCTCCAGCCCTGGCAGCATCTCCGGGGCCTCCTCTGGACTCTGCAGCAGCTCCACGTCCTTGTGCTGTTGTTGCCAGGGCTGGGACAGCTCTGCAGGGGGGTCTCCCCTGAGGGGGCAGAGGGAGAGATTCCCCTCTCTTGACTTGCTGGTCACCCTGGTTTTGGTGCAACCCATCATCAACTTCAATCACATTTGAGAAAATTATAAAAGTTCTCAATATACCAAAT